GGTTTGAAGAAAATTCTCCTTGTATAAAAATACCTGTGAGTCATCACGGGGAGTGCGGGTAGTTGGCGTGAGCGACGTTCTTGCCGTTGGGGAAGCTGAGCTCTGTTCCGGCAATACGAAATAGGCTCGCAGGAAATTCGCGTTGTGTCAAAATACCAGCGCATGGGCTTCTTTTTAGAGAAGCCAGGGCAGTCAGTCTCCTCCTGTTTGGAGGATGCTTGGACGCCCTATGTCCCAGCCCCTACGCAAACCTCTGTTCTGGCAGGCTTTGTTTGTTTGTCTGTGTGTGGTTTACAAGACAGCTGCATTCCACAGTCACATGAAAAAGCACAAGGAAAAGCACATTCGCTCCTTTTTTCTTTCCGCTCGGAGTCGTTCCGCCGTTGCTGTCGAAGTGGGGTAGCCCGAAACAGGATCGAGGTCTGGTTTTGTTCTGGCGATACGAAATAGGCTGGAACGAAAGGTTCACTGTCGCCAGATACCTGCGAGTCATCGCCGGGGGTGTGGGTAGCTGGCATGAGCGACGCTCTAGCCACAGGCGAAGCTGAGCTCTGGGTTTCTTCTGGGGATACGAAACAGGTTCGAACAAAATTCTCATTGTATAAAGATACCTGTGAGTCATCACGGGGAGTGCGGGCAGCTGGCGGGAGCGACGCTCTTGCCGTTGGCGAAGCTGGGCTCTGTTCTGGTCGTACGAAATATCGACGTGAAAAACATATTGTTTTCTCCGACAGTTGTTGTAAGGTTAGTAAGTGTGTTCCTCCTATCTGGGGGTTTGTTTTGAGCCAGCTGCGTATAGTGGAACCAGAGATGTGTTGCTCCCAGACCATCTCCCACCATGTGTATGTATGATTGGCTTGCATTATATACAGACATATTCACTTCACACTCAAGTCATTACTTGCAACGCATCAATAGCTGTGTTCGTTATTACATAATTATAGCAGTATACGGAAAAACTTGCAAAACAGTGATAGCGGTGTTCACGGGGTCTTAGACGCGTCGCTATTGTCGTGAGTGTACACGAGTGGCCTCCCCTACCGTAGAGCCCTCACCACTCGCTTTCTGCGACACTACCCCGGGTACCCATGGGAAGCAATGCCACAGAATACTACTTTGGTGAGTGCCCCAGGCCTGCTATCACACCCGGCCAGCGGTGTGGTTCCTTCGAGGGAGCTGGGTATGGTAGAAAATAGATTTAGTTTAGTGCTAAAAATTGCTATAATGTAAAACGTGTGCTTCACACTTGCGCATCCGTGCTGGTCGCTTAGTAGACGTGCTTTGCCGCGCACGGCTATTGCGTATTAGAGCTCGACGTCATAGTAAGTCGTCATAGTTAGTCGTCATAGTTAGTCGTCGTATCATGCCAATGGGAGTATATAAATGTAACATCACGCTAAGAGTGTGTATGAAAAACCAAACCCCGGGCCAGGCCCCCAAGCCCAATGTCCATGTCCAGCTAGATCGAAGCCCCAGCAAGTTGATCATTTATGCTTCACTCGTGTTGACGTGCAAGAAATACATCAAAATGTGTTGGCGATGCAAGAAATACACGCAAGCGCACATCACAAGACAGCGGCACTCCACACTCACATGAAAAAGCACAAGGAAAAGCACATTCGCTCCTTTTTTTCTTTCCTGAGTCGTTCAGCCGTTGCTGTCGAAGTGGGGTAGCACGAAACAGGATTGAGCTCAGGTTTTCTGCTGGCGATACGAAATAGGCTGGAACGAAAGTCTCACTGTAGCCGGATGAGCGACGCTCTGGCCACAGACGAAGCGGAGCTCTGGGTTTCTTCCGGGGATACGACACAGGTTGGACGAAAATTCTCACTGTATAAAGATACCTGTGAGTCATCACAGGGAGTGCGGGTAGTTGGCGTGAGCGACGCTCTTGCCACAGGCGAAGCTGAGCTCTGGGTTTCTTCTGGGGATACGAAACAGGGCGAAACAGGTTCGAACAAAATTCTCGTTGTATAAAGATACCTGTGACTGATCACAGGGAGTGCGGGTAGCTGGCGTGAGCGACGCTCTTGCCGTTGGCGAAGCTGAGCTCTGTTCCAGCGATACGAAATAGACTCGCAGGAAATTCGCATTGTATCAAAATACCTGCGAGTCATTACAGGGTTGCGGGTAGCTGGCGTGAGCGACGCTCTTGCCACTGGCGAAGCGGAGCTCTCTTCTGGCAATACGAAACAGGTTGAAGGAAAATTTGCATTGTGTCAAAATAATTGCAAGGCGTCACCGGGTTGTGGGTAGCTGGCATGGACGACGCTCTGGCCACTAGCTCACAGCTTTTGTTTGGCAAAACTCTGCGTCGAGATCTCTGACACTGCAAGGGCGTGCAATGCCCGAGTGGGCATTAGGGCTGGAGGTCGGAAATGAGGGTCATGAAACTGTTTCAAAGTACGGCACTTGTTCTTCGAGGATTCCGGGAGGGACAAGTCCTGTCAGGCAGGTTTTTCATACGAATTCATGCGTCTTTTTTTGGGTACGGCTCCAAGTTGCGTGTCATGAGGTGGAGCAGCTGCGTTTGTGGTCTGACAGTTTTGGCATACCCAAGTTGGCAGGTGTCGAATGTGGTACTGGCTATTCGTCTGGGATGGGCGTTCGGCGCCACACCCTGCAATGCATGGTGGGAAGGCACAGGCTAGGCATTGAGCGTCAGCTCTGGCTCGTGCACCTAAGGGCTTGCCACAAGTGGAGCAGCACTTGTTTGCGCAGCCCTCGCATGTCCATTGTGGCTGGACCTTGGCATGGTACCCTTTTTCCTGCGGCCGAGGGCGGCCACACTTGTCACATGGTGGATAGGCACAAGCTTGACACCATGTGTCGGCTGTTGCCTTTCCGTGCATGGCTCGGCCACACTGACTGCACGCTTTTGGGAGACACTTTGCACAGGTCCACTCAGGCATGTTTTTCACATGGTAAGCACGGTCATCTGGGCGGGCTGCCCCACAGGCTGGACAAGGTGGGTAACCATCCCGACAGGTGTCACAGGCCCACTCTGGTCTGTTTTGGGCATGGTACTCGAGCTTTTTCTTGGGACGAGGCTGGCCACAACCACGACTGCAAGGTGGAAATGCACAGGTCACACACCAGCCCTGGTACTTTCCGGGGATGGCCTCGCACTGAGGCATTTTTTGGTAAGACATTTTTGACAAGTCCATTCTGGCTTGCGTTTGGCATGGTATTTGCCATTCTGGGGCCGTTTTTCCGTCCCGCACCCATCGCAGTTGGGGTATGCGCAATCCAAGCACCAGGCTCCAAGCGTTGCAGCGGCTTTGACGGGTTGGGAGCACTGGGGACAAGTCTTTGGAGCTCGTTCGCGCTTGCCTTGGCAAGCCCGACACACACCTGCATTGGTTTGAGAGCAGTAGTTGCGCAGGTGGGTTATACTAATGGCCTTATCGCGCTGGGTGCAGAGGCCTTGCTTGGCTGTGGCTGAAGGCGTCTTCGCAACACAGGTCTTGCAGCGGGCACGCCGCGCATCGTTGGTAGCTTTTTTGCGACGAATTTCTTCCGGACTAAACTGGTGTAGGGTTTTAGTGGGTATTTTTTTTCCCTTGTCACAGCTGGCACACGACAGACGCACTGTGGAGAGGCAGTGGCGACAAAAGCCGGGCGTTGTGGAGGGACCGTGTTTTCCTCTGCAATGCGCACATGCATCTGGTGCATCTGTTGGTGTTGGAGGCTGCTTTCCTGACTCGGGGCTTCGGCGCTGCGGGCAAAGACGGTCCATTCCTTGTTCCAAAATTTTATACCATGCTTCCCGGTCCCAGACGGTGACGAAGTCTCGAAGAGGTAGAAGTCTGTCTGGCATATTGCTGCAAGGGCTGCAGTTTCGGCAATAGAGCATGACGTCGGGCTGACGTCTTCGCTTGGGCGCATCTTTTTCAAACCGAGCTTTGGCTTGCGCTAAGGAGAGCTTCTTGCGGTGGAACTCCAAATACGTATGTGGACCAGTGAGCTCTCCGTTTTGAAAAAGGTTGGGGGAAAAGGCGTGGGTCACACAAACGTCTTCGCACCGTTTGACTCTTGAGAGGCACATGTATGCGCTGAGTTAGTTGCGCATCCCGTGACGGGGCGGTGTCCCAAAAACCCAGGGTGCATGCTTCCAACGTAGCACCCATGAAGGAATGCGCTGTTCCGGAATAGTCGGATGCCACTGGAAACCCTCTGCGGGCGATGGTCGCACGGCCCCCTGGCTGAAGGGTCCACTGCTGGGCCGTAGGTTTGATGCACGCGACGCCAGGTGGCAGGGCTGGGTGTAGTTGCCACGTCGAACCCGGAATCTGGACGTAGAGCGCCAAGGGTAGTTTTTCCAGGACCAGTTCTGCACCGGGTGTCGTGCGGGAGAGACGTGCAATGTCAAGTTCGTGCAAGGTCCAACTGTATAGGGTGCCACGGGTATTTTTGAAGAGTCCAAACGGTTTTAGTTCTGGTAAGGTTTGGGTGATACGTATAGGCATGTTAGGCAACAAGGGCAAGATTCCGACAATCCCACCGGTGGCTTGGTCGTGCCGCTGCAGCCAGTTGCTTTTCCGAGCTTGCAACTCAGCCGGTGCATCGGTGTCCAAGTGGAAAAGAGGGGTGTCGGCGGCGATCACCCAAAGGATGGTTTGCTGTTGGCTAACTGCTACTTCCCGAGCTCGGAGATTAGTGGCTATGTATTTGGCAGCCTTGAGACCGTGGATGAATGGTTGCGCCGCAAACTTCGCGGACTTTGGATCCCGACCTAGCAGGCACCTGCGTCGTCTTTCGATTCGGCACTGGGGACATTCTTGTTCTAAGCGAGCTTCCCAAGGTAGATCAGGGGTAGTTGCCCACGCAAGGGGGAGGGTCTGGCAGGCAGCCGTGCCGCAGAGGCAAGCTTTGGTGTCGAAGTCCCACGCTCGGTACCGGGTCGGAAACCCATGGAGAAAGCACCATACATCCTGCGACATGGCACTGTGGCGTGCTTGTTTCAAGACTAGGCTTAGCCAGGGGTCCACGCAACGTTGCTCGGTGGTCAACTCGAAGAGTGCGTGGAGACCGGATTCAGTCCGTGACCACAAAACCTTTTGGAGGCTGGCCACCTGGCAGGAAGCGCCCCCGGCGAAGGGGTTTTGGAAAATGGCGGTGGCTTTCACAGGTGGAAACTGCCAGAGATCGCCTGTCAGGATGAGGTTGAGGCCGCCGAACGGTCGCGCCTCGCCTTTGCCATTGTTCTTCCAAGTGCCTTTTGTTCGGGTGGCTTGTGGGCGACCTTTTTTTCGAGGGTGGCTAGGACTTCGAGGCCGACTGTGGAGATTTCGTCTAGCACGAGCCAGCGCAACCGTTGGTACTGGACGAATTGGTCGGGCCCCCGCTCTCGTTCGCCGCCTTGGCCTTTGGCTTTGATGCGGATGTTCGCGAACGCATGGAGCGTCATGCCCTGAATGAGCGCGGCCTGGGTATTTTGAGGGGCTAGATAGACGAATTCCGTCTGGAGGTGCCACCCGCAGAGCTCCTCAAAGAATCGTCGGAGCCACTTCAACGTTTGACTCTTGCCTGCGCCGGGGACTCCATGGCAAATTCCTCTCCAGGGTTCACTCTTGCCGATCCGCTGGGTCTGTTCTTCGGTGGTTTCTGTTAAGCAGCGGTTTATGATGGCCTGCAGGAACTGTGTCTGTTCGGGCGTGGGCACGGGCCCTGTCTCCGCCTGTTGCAAACTGCGGAGCCAGTTGGCAGCGGCTGTCTCGTTCAGATTCCCATAGATCCATCGCACGGCTGGCGGCCGCTCCGCCGCAGCCGCGCGACGCGCTGCTTCGGCGGTGTCGGACGGCGGGAGTTCGGGTATGCCAGGGCTCACTTTCCAAGCAATCTGCTGAGCTGATGTCTGAGTCCCCCAGGTTGCTAGAATTTGTTGCACAGCGGGATTGCTGCGTTTAGAGTACTCGAAACCAATGCCTTGGGTTAACTTTTGGACAGTGGCCACATCGACCCAAGACGTGTCAACTTCCGGGTGGGGGTGGTCTACGGGGGCTTCTACTGGGTCCGTTTCTTCTGGGGAGCACTCGGCCGCGGCCAAAAAATTTTGGATCGTTCGTTTTGCATGGTGCGACACGATATGGGAGTGAATGTATTCTCTCCATGAGGTCTGATGGTTTCGCACACCGGGAGAAATTTTAGTGTGAAAACGGTGGGTGTGCCTATTGGCGGTTCGAGCTTCAAAGGACAGATCCAAAGCTGTTATGTGTGGCACATGCAAGCTCACGGCATTGGCGTCCAAAGTCCAAGGGCGAAGATACACATTCAGTAGCCGCGCCTGGTCCTCTTTCGACATGTCCGGACGAGGCAGTGGGCAGACCGTTGGATAGGGAACTAAGGCCTCGGAATGTCGTTCTAGATAGTACTCGGCTGCAGCTGCGAGGAATGGTTGTTCTGGCAGCCGTAGGATCGTTTCTGCTTGAGAAGTCGGTAATTTTTCTTTCCAGCAGTAGTCGCGTCCAAACTGCCACCCATCTTCGGGTATGGATGTGGGGTCATGGTCTGGCATCCACTCGCTTAAGCACTCAGCGGAAACAGGCCCTTCGTTGGGCGGCGGCCGCAGTTTTTTCAAGGTCCACCATTTTACAAATTCCCAGGGTGACAGATAATACACACGGGTATCTTGTCCACGCCAGCCGTAAACTTCCGACAGCTTAATCTCCGTGGTCGTGTATCCGGCTGGTTTGACTTTGTAGCGAATTTCGTTGCGTCCGTCGAGGTAGGTCAACCACTCTGCGCCGACGAACGGCACGACCGGGAAAGAGCGGATACACTCTGCGGCTGTGGGATCTTGGCTGTCGCCGAAACCGGCTAACATGAACTCTTCGGTGATTGGTCGGACGGAACATCGAAATTCGAGGTCGCCAAACACGCGACTGGCCACCTTGCGATAGTGGGTCCCGGTCGGATCTTTGCCAGCGTTGGTGTGGAGAAAATGCAATTGCTTGGCGGCTTGCTGGAGTTCTTTCCGTCCGACTGGTTGTGGCTTTTGCAAGTACCCTGTAAAGTAGCGGGTGGCGCGTCGTGCCGCTTGCTGCATCAACCGTTGCAGCTTTCCCGCGGTGGTCTGCTGGAGGCAGTTCCGTTGACACTCGGGGTCATGTGTCGCCGGACAAAGTGGCACCCGATAGTTCACGGCGGTGTGGGAGTTTCCGAAAAGCCACACGGAAAAGGCGGTCATGGTCCCCGACAACCAGGCGTCCTCTCGAGCCCCCAACCATAACCCTAAGGCATTGCGACGCCCCTTTGTGCTCACCTGAAAGCGGCGAGCGTTCCCCCGGCAGATCACGCGGGATAGCACGTTAGTCTTCTTAGGGAAACCGTGCTTACATTTATTAGGGGCCCCTTTTTTTTGCATCCGGCTAGAGGGGCCCGAGCTTTGAGGGAAGGGTTCCATGGATGCCAGTGACACTGCTGGGCGGAAAATCTTGCTTGAGCTGCTTTCTTGTAAGCGTGGATGAAACATCGGGCTTCCTGTGTCACTACTTCGGGCGAGCGGGTCTCTAGCCAAGGACTCTCGGCAGTTGAGGTTCGAAGGAAACCTGGCCACTGGCCCAAAAGATTGTGAGTAGCTTTGCTGAAGTTGTCTTGCCATTCTCTTTCGAAGTAGGATGCTTGCTCCACGTGGTCGGCTGGATGGGGATGCTGTTCAGTGTGAATCCATTCCTGGAAGCGCTGCAACGCTCCAAAGTCGATGTGCTTGTCTTCGATTTTTTGGAGCAGGCAGCTCAATGGTTCCTGCCAAATGCTTTCTGCATACACATTACAATGGAAATGGGGTGTGGCATTAGCCTGATACTCGATGGCGCCACAAATGGCGCGGACGAACCCCAAAACCCCACCAGTGGGATGTGTGCTGTAACCCTGTGGATCTCGACAATCACAAGTGGGGCAACGAAAGCACATTCGGATGCCGAGCAGCTATACAAAAATGAAACGCACCATGGTTTGGAAACTAAGGACTACAGCCCAAGGATCTCGAGCTGTAATTTCTCTATCCAGGGATTTCGATCTCCGTTCCATGGCTTTCCCACACGGGTGGATTGAAGCTTTCCGGGCAAGCGCTGCGGCCCGGGTCCGCTGCGCGATAGCGTGACAGTTTCAAGGATAGTGCATTGTGTCTCATGGTTGGCGAGATGGTGATGAACAAAGGTTCTCCAAATTCGACCCTTGCTCCGAACAAGTACCTACCAATACGACGTCGCACTTCAATGGTTCCAGGCATCGTGCGCTGCATGGATCGCACATCTTGCAACAGTTGGTTTTCGGGTCCGGTGAGGCCCTTAGCAAAGAACAATTTGCGTGTGTCATACTGAATTGGTCGTTCGCGACCGTCTGCGGAGACATACTTTCCGCGTCGCAATTTGTGGTACAGTCCTTCGGCTGCACGCACCCATTCGAAGACTGGCACGGGTTCGATCTGTTTGCGATGGGAGTTCCATCTTCGCCAGAGAGCACCCCCGCACACAGCAGCCCACTTTGAAGTGATGCGACGGAGACCGGGTACTAGGTCCCATGAGTTGCGAATGGAGCTCTCCACTCGACCGGTAATGTGTTTAAGGTGTTGCATGGGCCCCAGGACAGGTGCGTCTGCAACCCGGCGAAACTTGGGTTTCTGTGGGTAGTCTGGTCCGCTTGCCGGGGCGGGCAAACTGAACGGAAAGGCCCAGTGAAGAAAATCGGTGCGCCATTGGTCCCAAAAGTCTGTGCCAGTTTGGACCCCTAACTCATGGGTGGTGGTGGCGAGGTTGTTGACAAGGGCAACCTCTGGATCCCCTACGTCCGTGCTAGCATAATCGGCACTCAACACAGAGGGTCTCATTTTACCACTAAAGGCTTCTCCCTCTAAGTTGCAACTTATGTTGAGCTCGGGTGTGGCATGCTTGGATGGTAATTGGGGTGCAAAAGGTGCTTCTGGGCGGACCGCAGTCAGAGGCTCTGCGTGGGCCCTCTTTTGCGCACTTGAGCGACGCTCTGTGGCGGAGAGCGTGACGGCGACACTGCCAGCTGTCGCCGCGGGGGCCGAGCGACGCTCTGCTGCGGTTGCAGTCACCTCAGGCTGTGTCGCTCTGGGCGGATCTGTGCTGGAATTCGTGCGGTCCAAAGTGGCTGGGTCGAGCAATGGACAGGTTTCATGTTTCCACTCTCTCTGCGATCCGCACTTTGTCTTGGTCGGGGCTGTCTCTGTCTTGACAGATGGGGTGCCCTAAGTCCACCAGGTGTTGCAAGAGAGCGATAACTACCCAAGGTCGAATTTTGGCTCCCGATACCCACTCCAGTGCTTCATTGTATCGCGTGCCCTTAACCGTAATCTTCACAAGTGCTTGCAGTGTAGCGGGCGAATGTGGCAAGGACTCCCACGTCCGATGGCCCTGATGGGTTGGGTCCAAGGTCGCCATGATGTCTTCCCATGGCATGCTGAAGGAACTGACGTTGCCTCGGATGGCTACGCGGTGCTCTGCCTTGTGGATGTCTTCTTCCAACAAGTGTCCCCGGTCTTGTTCAAGGTAGAAGCACACGACTGAGGTCCACACGGGACAGGCGGCCGCAGCCTCGACCCAGCGAACTCGATGCCGATACAAGAGCTCTGTCGGGTATCCCAGCCAGTTGTCGTTCGTCAACGCCTGTGGCACGCCAGGTGCCCGCCTTTGAGTCATGCGCGTCAGGCAAGTGCGACAGAGTGGGACACGACACCGCGGGCACAGCGTGCTGGACTGCGGGGTGCACGTCCTGCAGCGAATATCTTCTGGGCAGCACAAAATGTTTGAGCCGTCGGGCAATTGCCGAACCCACTGCCTGTGCTCCAGGCGCTGTTCGATGGCTGGGCATAGGTGTCGTAGCACCAGTTCGCTCGAAAGCTGTCCTCGGTGAGGCTGGAGTACAAGTCCGAGACGGTCTGAAATCCAGTTTCTCCGTGGTTGGCGGCCACGTGGATGCGTGCGCAGCATGCGCAAATCAACCCTTCCATGTGTTGCTCTGTGACTTCTCGCGCCAAGCGGTGAAATGTCCGTCTGTCCGTGCTCCATCCCACCCGTGGTACTTGTTGCTTCTCCGTCAGAGCGGTAGTCGGACAGCAATTCTAGGGCGTGCCCCCGCAAAGAGAGCCTTGTGCGCGGTGCTGAGATGCGCGCGCAAACAACGCGTGGCATTGCCACAGCAGGTCTGTGGACGCTCGGTCCAGCGCTGTTGTTGCACTTGCATCACCCGTGCGTGTGTCCAATTGGGTTGGCAAGGGTCTTCTTTCGAGCACCAGCGACAACCTTGGATGGCGCAGTGCACATTGGGGAATAAGATCCCCGAAGTGTGATCGGCTTCTTGCACGTCGAATCCTGGCAATTTAGGAGGCAGCAGGGGGTGGTCCTTCAGGGCTGCGGCTAGGTTTTGAATCCGTTCCAAATCTGAATCTTCTTTCGTGCACCAGCGGCGATGAGGTTCCACTGTCAATCCCTGATCAAGATCGTTCGAAGACATGGATCCCTCCGAATCCCAAGATTCCACGCTCTCGACGTCTACGTCGACGGCTTCGGCCTCGGAGTCTAGGGCTGCCCCAACTTCTTCATGGATCTTGTCCCAGCCGAAGTTGTCCTCCGGCGCGAGACATGCGGGCTGCGGAGTGTCTTCACACACATGTGAGTCACGACAGAGAGGGCTAGTTGCTGACACGAGCGACGCTCTTGCCACTGGCAAAGCTGCGCTTCGTTTCGGAGGTTGCGAGTCATGACAGGGAGGACTAGTTGCTGCCTGGAGCGACGCTCTCGCAGCTGGTGAAGTTGAGCTCTGTTTCGCTGCGGCTTCGGCATCGGATTCTGGGGCTGCAGGGTCGTCCTCCAGTTGCGAACATGCGAGCTGCGGAGTGTCTGCAGAGATTTGTGAGTCATTACACGGAGGATCAGTCGCTGACATGAGCGACGCTCTCGCCACTGGCGAAGCGGAGCTCCGTGTTGGTGGTTGTGGTGTGCTTCGGTCCTCAGGGGGGGGTGCCTGTGGCGCCGGCAACGGAGGTTGAGCCGCCCCCAGCAACTGTTGGACTGCTTCTAAGACGGCTCTGGCACCCTGTGCACGAAAAGCTTCCACTAAAGGCGTGCTTGGGAAGGGGTCGCCGATGTTCTGGCTACGTTCCACCAAGTCGTAGTGGCCGGTGACACCCATGTCTCGATGTACGAGCTCCAACACGGGGCTATGGTGTCGCAACTTTGCATGCGCTTCCTGGTCGGTCAGGCACTCCATGGACCGGACCCAGTAATTCACATTCGCGTGAGCACCCCAAATGAGACACTCAAAATCGAACTGCTGGGTCAAGGCCCACAACTCCACACCGGGTGGATCGAATCTAACATGTCCGGCTGGAGCAACACTGCATGGAGTTTACTGAGTAAGACGACTTCGGTCGTGTTCAAGGGCGCAGTCTTGACGGCCGTCGGCTGTTGTCGAAGGAAGTGCTCACGCAGCTGCAATTCGTGGTCGTCGAACGGGACACACGCCGTTGCGACTGCGTCTGCGCGCGGCCCGTGCTGGGCCGCCAACAACCACTCAATGGCTTGCAAATAGATTTCGGCGGCTGTGCCATGGCCCGAATGTGTGCTGCCTTTGAAGTACCGGCTCACGGCGTAGAAGAAGCACCAACCGTCTCCCGGCATGTGCGCAACATTCGACCGAATTCGCGCTTGCAGCGTCTCGGCGGCTTCAGGATTGCCGTTCACGGCGTGCTGCTCTCGATTTCGGACCTTTCGAGGTAGGTACCATCTCGGTAGAACAGACACCCGCCCTGGCCCGGCACGAGCAGGAAGTAGGCCCCTATTTCGCTCTGCCGCACCACCTTGCCCTTCGCAGTGCGCGGCTTTCGCCTGCGTCGCCCTCGTGCTGACTCCCCTCGGGCGTTGCCTAGGCGTGCCGCTTGATAGCCCCCTGAGGTCAGCGAGGAGCCGCGACATCCGCAAACCAACAACCAAATCCAGCCACATATTTGCAGCGCTGCGCGCAACCGTCTCCGGGCCTTCTGTCGGCGATGTCCTTTGCAGCGCCGACCGCCTGCGGAGCGACTCTTCTGGATCCAGCCAAGCTTGCACGCAGTCGCTCGGAGTGCACGTCGTGCTTGCAAGCTGAAGACACAACCGCAGAGGTTGATGCAAAAGAATGGGTCCAGGTGTCTTGCAGAACTACATAAGATGGCGCAGCAGCTAGCTAGAAGCCAAGTGCACAGGAACCAGCGACTGGGTAGAGTTCGAGTCCAATGTGTATGCATCGACATCAGGCGCTGGCGCGGCTCGCTTTGGAGCGACACAACACAGAAAATCACTCGAAAGAAACCGTCTGCAAATTCTTTTGCATCTGCTTCTGACGACTGGGTTGTAGCACCATGTACCTACTCCAACCTCTGTTTGGTGTCTGTCTTCTCCCGTTACCACTGCTGAGAATGCGATGCCACGTGTCTAGTGTCTATGCGTGCGCTGGCTAGAGCCGTGTGCACAAACTCAGGTTCTGCACTTCTGCTCCACACGCGCGTCCGCCGCACACTGTGCGGGTGACCACGCAGCTGCACGCACGCGCGCGCGTGCACCACGCACGCGCCCGACCCGGAGCCGAGAAGACTCGCGACCGCGAGCGGACGCGGAACAGACACGTCACACCCATCCCCGCACCAACGAGCGGACGAGGAACAAACGTGTCACCTCCATCCCCGGCGCGCATCTCTGCGCTGGCTCTAGTTTTGGCACGCCGGCGGTGCTGCGTTTGCTTTGGGTGCAAGTGTCTGCTGTCACCTCCACGTCCCCTCCATGGGTCTCTTCCCCGCCGTCCAAGACCCATTGCATGAACTGGTCGAGGATGTTCGTGCCATCCTTCTTGCCAGGCTTCACAATGCTGCCCCCACTAACAATGCTCGCAACCGTCTCAACGCCCCCACACTTGCGAAAATCCATCGCAGCGTCTCCCAACTTTTGCCCGGGCAACCAACCGTAGCCCGTCGAATCCACCAACACCACCGTGAGCGACGCTCTCGGTATGTCGGCTGCGCGCACTGCGGCGCCGCCGGTCTCCACGGCTTCAGCCGACCCAGAGCAGAGAGAGAAATCGAGTGTGCTTGGTTGCTCTTGCTTTCCTACGCTAGCGGTCTCCTAGCTTCGTCCTCTGACTCTCAGAGTTCGACGCTGGTTGCTTCTGGTGTCTTGGCGTTGAGGGCTTTGTTAAGGACCTTTCTTATAAAGTAGGTGTTTGTTTTTTAAAAAGAGGTGTTCAATCTGGGATATTATTAGAGTTTGTCTGGACCTGGAATAAGAGTCAGTCTCTAAACTGTCCTACGCTTATTGTCTTGACCTCTCTCCACACACCCATTTATTTACCGGCCAATAGGTTTGCAACCCGAAACGAAAGACGCGTGGAAAAGATTTCAATGTGTGCATTTTTGCCCGTTCCTGCTTTTTTCCAACCAAATTGTCACTGTGCCCGCAGCAGAGACGGCCCAAGTCGCTTGACTTGAAGTGACGACACGATGATCATGATTGCGGCCTTCACCTCGAAGTTAGATGCTGTGAAGAGAGAGCATCGGCTGCACATGGCAGCCCACCACACAGGCGAACACAGAGCCCTCCTGCAAGCCACTGGCAATGACAGACACAGAAGCGTCCAAATCCTCAAGCAAAGCCTTCTTGCGCTCGAAGGAGAAGTTCGAAATTCTGTCGCCAAAACTTCTCGAGACTCGGCTGCGCGCCACTTCGGCAGGGTCTGTCTTTTGGAGCCCTTCTTCCAAAGTCTCAGGAGTCAGCTCAGGCGGGCCACTGCCCTCGTGTTCCAGATAGCGCCTTGCAAAGGCTGTCAAGATGACAACAAACTCCAAAGCCTGCTTTTGGAAGCTGCAGCAGCAACTCACAAGAGGTTGCAACTGGTAGCATGACTCTTTGATAACCTCCATGATGCAATGTTGGCGTGGCGTTTTCGCATATGCCGGTCTGATTCCGCCACGCTCAGGCCCTGAAATGGCTTTTACAGAAGACATGTTTACCAAATAGGTTTGATTTTGGCTTCATGAAGGCGTTTCTGCGCAGAAGCAATTGTCAGACCAGTGTCGGAGTAAAATGAAAATGATGCGTTTGAGCCGCCTTTATGTTCACAATCGTGCCTCTGTTTTTTTTAGGGGGACAAGTTTGGAGCACTGCCCACTGTGTTTGTTTGCAAGTCCATTTGACCAGCTTGCTGGTCAAAGATCAAAGGCCAGCTTGCTGGCTAAAAATCATTTTGTTTTGCTAGTGTTTTTGGCCCAGTCACAAAAGGTGTCAACATATAGTTATTCGGCCCTGGCCCTGCCCCAAATGGCTCCACGTGTTTCCAAGGCTTGCAAGGCTAAGGCCAAAAAGTCGTCCAGTGGCCGCGATCACCCTGTTCCACCGCTGGACCAGGAGCTGAAGATCAGGCGCGTCCGCTTGCCGGGCAAGGACTATGACCACTTCACTGACTTCAACGAATACTTGGTGAGCACTGTGGAAAGCCAGCCACAGGACCTTATGCTGCTGGTGTGGAATTCAGTTACGCTCGAATCTTCAGACTGCTTGTCGCTGAATTGCAGCGGGCCACGGCGGCAACAAGCGCTACCTGACATATTATTTTCTTGCGTGTGAGGCGCCCCTTGTCATGACGCGTCTGAATCTGTTTAGACCTTAGGTTGATGCTCAAGAACTTGCTGATCTTTTCCAACGATGAGTTCTTCAGGGGATTCCAGCCGCCGGCATGGTCGAGACAGGGTGACAACAACAAGGTGCTTTTCGTTTTCCGACATATCGGTTGCGCGTGCGGCAAGCGCTTAGTTCCGTAAATCTTTATGTTCTTCACTGTCTCCTACGTGCAGGTGCTGCTGCACAACGGTGCGTGCGACATCATGGTTGATGAGGTCTTGGTGATCTTGGATTGGAAACAAACGGTGGATACCAAGCCGACATTTGTTGAGCCAAACAAGATCTTTGTTTGCCGAGAGAAGTTTCACCTTTTGGAGCTGTATGGAAATACAAGCTCTGCAGTGGAGCAGCAATGAGACAGTTACCAGAGCTTGTCATTTGCTAAGTTTTGACCTGGATGGTAGTTAGCGCCCCGTGTCTGATACCATGATGCGAGTGAGGCGAAAGTCGGATCTGCTTGTTTCTGAGGGATCGAATCAGCTTGCTGATACCTTCCTGTCAGGCCAGCTTGCTGGCTTTTTTCTTGCTGTTTTTTTGCTCGCTTTTTAGGATTGTCATTTGATGCAAATTTTGGAACCTTGAAGATGGCCCAAAGTAATACCAAACACTGACTGTACAGCGCTTTAATCTCTGACACAAAGAACAAACAGCCGAGATGAGCAGTAAGTGGCAACAATGACTTTCTGAACCAGGTGCTTGATACGTTTTCGGGCCATGGATGACGACGAGGCTGGGGATTCAGTGAGCTTGCCACCCTCAGTCGCGGAGACAGATGATGAAGCGCTGCAGCAGCAGCAAGATGATGAAGACGACGTGTCTTTGCCGCCAGAGGTGGTGGAAGATGGTTTTCCTGAGGAGGCTCAGTGCTGCAAGAGGCGCAATTGCAAATCACTCTTCGATCGAGCAGTTTTGGAAACGTACCAGGCTGAATTTTCCCATTGCAGCCAAGCCGTGCGCTTGAACAAAACTTATGAGAAAGTCCGCGATGTCTTCAAGGCCGGCGGGTCTGACACGAAGAAGCCAATGCCATGGGCACTGCTGGGCAAACCAGTGTGCAGGAAGTTCTTTGAAACAATCCATCAAGTTGGCCATGGCACTATGGACCAAATGGTTCTCCATTGCAAAAATGGCCACACATCCTGGCCGCAACAACGGGGTCCTAGACTGCAAAGAGACGCTCCTGCCACCGATACCGTGGATGTTTGGTTCATGACGGTGTACAATGACCTGGCTGAACCTATTGCCATTCCTGGTTCGGAAGGGCGGTTGGAATCTGCTGGGCCTGAGGAACAGCTGCAGCAACATGAAGTAGTGGACGGAAATGACCCGTTGCTGTCAGTCAGTCTCAATTTGAGGCGGCACGCGAGTCCAAAGACAGACCCGCATGGGCGGGTGCTGATCCCTAAAAGGTATTTGAATTTTGCAGATGAGTCTGCTCTATTCAACTTCTACCAGATCGACGAACCATCTCCGCAGCAAGTTTCCCGTAGCACCTTTCGAAAGGCATGGGGAAAATGGTCGAGGATCATGGCTTTCAAAAACAAAGGTGAGAACAGCAAATGCAACATTTGCGCCAGGTTGACAGTCGAGCGAGCTGAAGCTGTTGAGCCATCGGAAAGGCTACGCGTCGATGCTGCAAAACGCCAACATTTAGATTGTGTTATGGCTGATCGATCAGTGAGCGTGCGATGCAACAAGCTGGCATCCCGAGCAGATGTCTGGCTGACCAAGCAGAATCATTCCAGCATGTGCAAGCTGATGCTGGATGGAATGGATCAGTCGAAATTTTCCATACCCAGAAGGAAGGATATGAGTGGCACCTCTTCCTGGTCAAAGTGCTGGCGCCCGTCCATCCATGTGACCGGGTGCATTTGCTTCGGTCAATTCGAGTATTGCACCATCATGAGACCTGACCAAGCCAAAGACAGCAACATGAACGCAACCATCACGCGCCGTGTACTCGATCTGCTTCACACCAAACTGCAGAGTCAAGGCCCGGAATACTCCTTTCCACCAGAGCTTGTATCTAGGTTTGCTTTCAGTTTTTCATTTTGATGGTTAGCGTTGGCTATCAAGCTGTCTCAGTCCAACCAAAGTTTTGACCCAACCCTGGGCTTGTTAAGGTAGTGATGTGTGACAACACACCAAGAGAAGCCAAAAACGCATTCTATGCATCATATTTATCCACATTGGTGGGTAAGCAGCTGTTCAAGCAAGTGGAGTGCCATTTTCTTCAAGTTGATCATACGCATAATGAACTCGATCAACGCTTCAGCTCAATGGCCAGCGTGATAAAGGGAGCTGCCTGCTTGGAGGACATTGCTGATTTGGTCGAGTACTTGAAGGATCACATGAAAGCAGCTGTCAACAGAGAGATTGTGATCGAAGAGTTGACAAATACTATGGATTTCAAGACTTGGCTGGGAGATGCCAACCTACATGTCCAAGGGCTGACAAGTACCCACTTGGAGCCGCACGCCAATCATGTTTGGAGATTTACTCCCCGCACTGAACTGGCCCATGGAGCTATCGAGTGCCATCACCCAGATTGGCGTGGTCTTCCGGAGCATCCACAAGATGTGATCTTGACAGTGAAGCAGTACATGAGCTCCCCATCTCCATCCCAATGTCCGCAGCTGATTCTACCCTTGGCAATAAGCGAGAAATTGCAGGAGGAGAAGCTCAAGCCTGCTGCCCAGAATCAATTTAGCGAAACCACGCTGCAGGAGTTCCGGAAGACAGCTGAAATTTTTTCCCAGCCCCCATGGTCTATGCTAAAGGCCAAATGCTTTTTGGAGGACCTGTGTGACAAGAATCAGACCTGTCACATGTATCCTGGCTACAAGTTTGAGTTCTATTTTTCGGAGGATTTCGCAGAGCAGCGATGCCTTGAATCAGGGCGTTTGGACGCAGCTCTGCCACAAGACTTGGAAACCGCTGATGTTGAACCTGAAGCGCCTCCACGTCGTGTCATGGTTGTCAAGGGCAAGAACAAGCCGCCAAAGGCGAAAGCAAAAGTTAAGGGGGCTGCCAAAGTTCAAGCCAGCAAAGCAGTTTTGAAACGTCCAGCCGCAAGTGGCGTTGTTCAGCCAGAGCCTATCGTTGAGGCTGGGCAAGAACCAAGACCTGCGGGTCAGTTGCTGAAACGCCCGGCCAGCCAAATGGAGACATGGGCTGACAACTCTTCATATGCTGTTTTTGCAGGCCCTGGCGCTGCCCCAGGCCCAGATGGTTTGCCAGCTGGTTGCGAGTGGGGCTGCTCAAAATGCTACAAACGCCCTCCCGGGTGCAGCCGATGCAGGAAACTGGCCGATGAGGGCCGTCTTGACTTTCACCGTCTTGCCGATGGCAGGATCTACAGGGATCTCGCAAAGCGATGATGCCGGCTGCTGCTACAGCTGCAGCAACGCCCCGCCAGAAAATACAATAATAGTGATCGCGACAACTTGTTGTTGCGACCTTAATAGCCAGCTTGCTGGCCATTTTTTGCCTGACAGCCTCACTCACGACGCGACATGTTTTAACATTGTGACTACGATGCCTCTGCCGCTGCTTTCTGCTCATTGATTTCAGGTTCCAGATTGTATACATCATTTCTTAGTGAATTAAGAATTGTTGAAGAATTGTTGTTATATATATCGTTGTCCAGGCCAGGGTCGACATCACATTAAATGTGTTTTTCGGCCAGCAACCGGTGAGCCATGATGTCGGAGACCAACTCCGAGCTTTGCAGTCCAACTGTTTCTCTACCATCAGATGTCACAGATGGGTCACTCTCATTGCCTGACTCTTGTGAGGAGCGCGCAGAATCTGAAAGTGGCTTGGCCCCGGCCCAACCGGATACATCAATGTCCTTGGAGTCGGATTCGGATGTTGAGTTGCCAGATCCTGTGTTTGATTTCGACACGGAGAACATATCGCCAATTGCCTCTGCCGTACCTGCGCCTGAACAAGTGGCCACACACGGGCCGCAGGATTTCAATTTGTTCGCGTTGGAATTGTTTTCCCCTCCGCGCGTGCTTCCACATGTGAGATCCGTTGGTGGCCCATGCCGGATGTCCTTGGATATCCTGACCGGTTGGAACCTGCAGCACAAGGGAGTTCAAGACATTGTTTTTGGCATGTTGGAAGCAGGCAAACCCAGAATGGTTTTTTTGTCTCCGCCTTGTACCATTTTCAGCTGTTTGCAAAAATGCTTTCGCAATTATGAGAAGATGGACCCCAAAGTTCTGGAAGAGAGATGGCGAGAAGGTTGTGACCATATGAATTTGTCGGTGACCGTTGCTGAGCGGCAGGACCACAACGATGACTTCTTCATGTTGGAACACCCACAGCGAGCCTCCTCGTGGGAATTGGAATCCACTCAGAAATTGCGGGCTAAGCAGCGTGTAGGCAGATTTCGATCAATGCATGCTAGGCCTTCGAGCGCCCAATGGTAAGTTGATGAAAAAAAGGACCCGCATTGTGAGCAACAATGCCTGGCTGCTATCCAAGCTGTCCCATTCCCAATGTGATAGGCAGCATGAGCATCAACCCATTGAGGGGTCGATGAAAGGTCGAAGCTTGAGTTGGTGGGCCCAACACTACCCTGATGGCCTGGTGAAAATTTTAGCAGAGAGTGTGAGCCACTAGGCAGGTCACAGACCAACTGCGCCGGATTGTGTCAGAATCTGCACAACTCACGCGTGGGAATCCTTAACCCTAGATGCGCGGATTTCCACGGAAATCTTGACAAGTCAGCTCGCTTTTTGCTTTTCAACACAAATCACCTTTTGGTTTTCCACAGGCCACTTGCGTGGATTCTCAATATCACCTGGGACTTGCGTCGATTTCCACGGAAATCTGCACAAGTCAGCTTTGAAAATTCCAAGTTGGACTTGCGTAGATTCTGTGTTTTGGGGGCTGGCCCCGCTGCGCGGATTTCCACGGAAATCTGCACAAATCTTTGGCCGTGGAGTTTGAAAGTTGGGATTTTGCGCGGATTTCGTGTCTCAGAGCTCTGCGCGGATTTCGTGTCTCAG